GATATTTTCTTTATTAAACCTGATCAATTTGATAGTTGAAAATAGTTTGAGGGTTAGAACCTTAAATAGGGATATTGGGGTTTCTGATCTTGAAAGGAGATAAGATAACTATTGTTATGCATACTAGGGATATATGTATATTTAATTGCAGATGTTGGAATTATTGTGTTCATTGCTTAATTCTCATGAGGGGTTACTAAGGGATTAGGATTCTAAGTGAGGTTAAAGGGTTAAGTTACCAAGGGATTGGGATTTAATTATTAATATATTGAGATCATAATTATCTGAGAAATTATATAAATAAGTATTTTGTATCAATCCAAAGTAATAAGTGGGGATCATAGGGAGAGTGTTCCCTAACTGCAATTCTTTCTCATATTTTCAAAACCAACTCCATTATTATTCTTCTTTTCATTCTTGAAAATACAAAAACTCAAAAATAAGTCTTTACTTTTATGGTTACTAAGATTCAATTTAATTTTCCCAACAAGAGATCAAGTTTTTCAACTTAAAGTGACTGATTATTTTAGTACTTGGTTTTCAATCCCTGAGGAGACGATCTTTCTTACTACTTTACTACTTATGCGAAACGGTATACTTGCCGGATAGCATCATAACTCTTTCAGAGTCTTCAAAGTAAACTAAATTAGGATAAAGAAAGTAAGAATGTCTCAACTTGCTCAGCAAGAGAATAATGCAAACGCAGCGATGACACGGTGGACTAGGGAAGATGACATTGCCTTTGAAGACGCCCTCGCTATCATCCCAACGGGCATGCCTGAGCCAGAATATTGGGAGAAAGTAGCCGCTCTTGTTCCTGGAAAATCACCGACGGAGGTCCGAAATTATTATTGGGTATTGGTCCATGGCTTGTTCGAGATTGAGTCTGGTCGAGTGCCGTTACCGCACTTGTTGCTGGTGCCGATGGAGGCCAACGGAGGTAACTATGAAAAGAAGAGGTTGCCATGGACCGAAGAGGAACACAAGTATGTTTACGTAAAATACTCATTTATTTTTAATTATTATTTATCTTGTTACTTAGAATTAGAGGTGTCAAAATGGGTTGACATAACATGAATTTGACACGACAAGAATTTTTTCTAGGTTGACATAGCACTACATGAATAACAAGCAAACTAGGAATTAAAATGGTAATTGACAAAATAAAATAAAATAAAATAAAAGAGTAAATACTCTTTTGGCTCTTCAACAAAAAATACAGAACCCATTTTAATTTCTTAGAAAAAAATATATATCAATCATTTTTTAGGAACTAATGTGAGTTTTTTTTCGAATTTTTAAGGAATTATAATTTCAAAGAATTTGAATTTTAAAATGACCATAAATTGACTTTTTTTAAGAGATTAAAATGAATTCCGAGTTTTTTTTGTAGAGAACCCAAAAGAGTATTTATTCAAAATAAAAAATGGATTGAAATAAAAAAAATAATTAAAAATATTTTAGTACTATAATAGTACTAAAAGATAATCTAATGTAAAAGACTTATTTATTTTTAATTATTATTAATTTTGTAACTCAAAATCTTGGGTTCGAATCTCAAAACAATTTCTTAAAGAAGTAGAAGGATAATTCATCTCTATCTTCATTAGTTGGAGTATAAAGAGGAAAGATTTTTCTAGAATGGTCGATTTACCATATTCCTCCTAATAAACAGATCATAGAAAAAGCCAAACATTAGAGGGAAAATATGTTTCTTATCAAGAGTCATTTCAATTTGTTTTTAATTAAACTTATGATGGATTTTTCGTATATATATGTATTCTTGGAATTTTATGATATCTCTATATTTGTTTTTTTGTGATAGGTTATTTCTCGCTGGGCTGCAGATAATTGGCAAGGGAGATTGGAAAAATATTGCTAGATATTTTGTTAAGACAAAAAATGCAGCACAAATTGCTAGTCATGCCCAAAAATACTTCCTTCATCTCGCTCAAGGTGCCCAAAAGAAGGAAAGGAAAAGAACAAGCATCCATGACATAACCTTAAATGCTGAAATCGACATTGTGATTCCTGCTGATGATGTTCAAATGCTTCAACACTTACCAAAATTGCAACAGGCACATGAATAGAGGGACACACAAGAACATAATTGTAGATATGTTATTTAAACTGTTGTTGCATTTTGGTATGGATTTAGTTATTTTCATTTACATCTTTTAATGTTTTAGATGGTGGAAGAAAGGGTGCAGCATCGGCGTACCCTTTTAAAATTGAAGGAAAATAAATGCTTTATAATTTTTAAAGCGAAGAGTTACATGATTTTAGATTTGGAGGTGGTAGTTCTTATTTAAAATGCTTTATATGGATAATATATAGTCTACTATACTATGTTTGAAAAGGATTATTTCAGCACAAAGTTGAAAAAAATTCTGGTGATGTTACATCTAATCAGTTGCTTTTATTATTCTTTTGTTTTTAATTATAATAATTTTTTTTTTTTTGGATATTAAGGAAAAACAAACAAACAAAAGCAACTACTTAAGGATCAATGAGAATATTATCAATTCCCATCAGATCCTTCTCAACAAATCTAAAACAACCTGTAGGGATATTAGGTAAAATAACTAATTCCCAAGAATTATGATCCACTTTGGAAGCCAAGAAATTTGCCACTTCATTCCCCTTCCTATTTGTATGAGACAACATTACATTCCACTGCTTGTCAATTAGCTCCTTGATCCTATGTATCAGCTGGCAGAAAGGATGATCCGAAGGACACTCTCCTTGAACCAATTGAATAGCCTCAGAGGAGTCACCTTCCAGATGGACTTTCCTGAAACCATGATCCCAAGCCACTTGAAGACCTAACAGAAAACCCCATAATTCAGCCTTCAAAGCATTTCCTTGTCCAATCTTCTTCATATAACCCATCATCCATCTACCATCACTATCTCGCAAGACTCCTCCACATCCAGATTTATATCCATCCAACGAACAGGCACCATCCGAATTGATCTTGATCCAACCCTTTTGGGGAGGCCTCCACAGCATTATACTCTCCTCCTTAATATCCAAACTAACAACTGCAACATCCAGAACAGAATCAGCATTAACCACATTTTGCACGAAAATTTTTACCTTATGACAGAGACCTTCAGGAGAGCAGATATCTTTTCTAAACACAAGTTATTCCTAGCTTGCCATAGCATCCAGCAAGTAACTCCAAAAGTAAGCCTCCAAATCTGGTCATGGTTATCATTCTTCCCTCTACCCAAGTTAAACTGAAACCATTCCAGGAAATCACCATAGAAGAAAGAATTATAATTCCTATTATCAATTAATAAAGTCCAAACCGGTTTAGCCCAATAGCATTCCCTCATCACATGACAACAATCCTCACAAGGAAACATGCATCTAGGGCAGTTTGCTTCATCCCCCATATGTCTCCTTATTCTTTGCTCATTTGTTAACAGATTATTCCCAATCAACAGCCATAAGAAATGTTTCACCCTCTCTGTTCCCTTCCACTTCCAAGCAAGGTCCCAATAGCTATCCTGATGCTGCATAGCAGGAGCATCCTTCGTGATGAACTGGTAGGCAGATTTGACAGTAAATAAACCATTGCTGGAAGGCTTCCAGAAAATCCTATCCTCCTCATCTCCCTCCTTAGGACTCTCAATCTTGGCTATGGCTTCACAAACCTCCTCAGGGAGGTATATATTGAATTTACCCCAATCCCATTCACCATCTTGGTTAACACAGCAAGCAACCTTCCAACACTTAGCATCTTCAGGAATAGTGATAATGGCTTTATCAATTAGCTTACCAAACTCAGGCAACCACCAATCCAGCCAGAATCTAGTTTGCTTACCATTACCCAACATAATTCTAGTTCCTGCCAGGATATGATTCCAAGATGAACTTATGCCCCTCCACAAATTACTAGCATTAACACTCCTAGGAAGATTAGGCAGGAGGCAATCCTCCAGCTTGTACTTGTTTCTCAGCATTCTAGCTCCCAGAGAATCCTTTTTGGCCAGAATCCCAAAACCAACCTTCATAATAAAGGCTTGGTTAAAGGTTCTCAGACTGTCTATCAGAACACATTCTCTCCCACTTCACCAGGTGAGTACCTCTTTTTTCTTTTGATGATCCCCATATAAATCCATGGGTGTGCTTCTCTATCTCATCACAAACCGATTTGGGAAGCCAGGCTGTTTGCAAAGCATAGGTAGGCATAGCATACAACACTGATTTAGCCAAAGTAAGTCTCCCAGCTAGAGATAAGGATTTGACATTCCAAGCATTCATCCTCTGTTTGACCCTATCCAGTATATGCCCAAAGGAATTTTTACTGACTCTGGAATGGTTCAGAAAAACTCCCAAGTACTTTCCCAGGTTAGGTGTGCTGCTTATCCCTAAACAATCACTAACCTCCTTAGCTCTACCAAACTTGACATTCTTTGAAAAGAATACTCGAGTCTTCTCCAGATTAATTTTCTGCCCAGAACTCAAACCAAATAGTCTAAGAACTTGATTAATTATATGAGCCTGATCCATTGAAGCTTTAGCACAAAGAATGATATCATCGATAAAGAACAAGTGAGATACAGGAGGACCTCCTTTCCTAAGGATGGTTGGTTTCCAGGCCTTAACATCAGCAGCTACTTGAATAAGGTGAGCAAGCCTTTCTACACAAAAGACAAATAAGTATGGGGATAGGGGATCCCCTTGTCTTATTCCACGGGATGGTTTGAAATATTTAGTGGTTTGACCATTCCATAGCATGTTCAGCTCACTGGTCCGAACACAGTTGTCAATGAGGGAAATCAGATTACCAGGAAAACCCAACTCTATCAGGGTATCATGTATAAAGGACCAACTCAGCCTGTCATAGGCTTTCTCAAGGTCAAATTTAATCATCATCCATCCTTGCTCACCTTTCTTCTTCTTCATTGAATGGATGATCTCTGGAACCGGTTTAGTTCTTCTCTTAGCAGAATGGTTTCAAATTCCTTCCATAGATCTCTTTGCAGCCTTTAAAGCTCTCTGTCAAATCCAGCTTCCAACTTTAAGTCCAGTCCCTGAATTCTGGCATAAATCCTGTGCTTCTGTTTCATCTCCTCATTAAAGACCTCTTGATGCCACTTTGATGCTACAACTTCAAAGTCACTCCTTGCCTCTGTCCAGTCAGTAATCTTTTCCCAACATTGTTTGACAATATTACCAACATCAGCATTAGTGAGCCAGGCAATTAGAAATTTAAATTGTTTAGCCCCCTTAACCTCCTGATTAGACTGGAAATTGCTAATAAGGATGGGCCTGTGATCATAACTAAAGAAAGGCAAGTGAGCTATAACTCTGTTAGGCCAAGCCACATTCCATGCTTCATTGGCACAAGCTCTATCAATCCTCTCTTGTAATTTACCCCTCCTCCAAGTGAAGCTAGGCCCCTTGAACCCAATATCAGAAACTCTACACTTCTCAAGACATTTCTGCATATCCTGGATGCTCCTCCAACACACATCAAGCCCCCCAACCTTCTCATACTGTCTTAGGACAGAATTAAAGTCCCCAATCACGACCCAAGGGCCCACCACAGATTCAGCAATTACCATCAATTCCTCCCAAAGCTTTATTCTTTCTATCCTCCTCGGGCTCCCATACACAAAGGTAGCTAATTCCATCCTTTTATCTTCAATATAATGAATCCTAGTATGAACATATTGATGATGGGCTTTAATTACCTCCACCTCAACATCCCTATCATCTCATAAGATCCAAACTCCACCAGAAAAGCCCACAGCCTCCTGTTTAAAGAATTTTGAAAAACCAAGTTTCCTGACAATAGTATCTCCTCTAGCACCCTGAATCTTAGTTCCAGTAAAGCTAGAACCTTTATTTTAAACCTATATTTAATATCTCTAATCAGGGCAGGGAATTCTTTTTTCCCTACTCCTCTATAATTCCACGAACAAAGATTCATAAACATAAATGAAAATAAAGTACCCAGTACCTCAACAACCAATGATTGAATCATCAAGATATAGCCAGATTTCTTGCCCCTCCTAGGCCTGTACTTCCCTGATCAACTTCTATCCCATTCAGGTTGCATCCTCAAGTCTTCAACATATTTGTAATCTCATCCCCTTTGACCTTCCCATTGGCTAAATTATTCAGATCCTGAGTAGGTTGCAGCACCCCCTTCTGATCCCTTACTCCTAGTAGGCAATTTTTGCACTCCCACAATCGAAGAACTGGGAGGTTGGTTCTCAGAGGACTGGTTCCTAATTACAGAACCTTTAGGAGTGGATTTATTTCTTTGTAATCCATTAGATCCCATAGAACCTCCCTTAGAGAATCCAGACTTCATTACATTTTTCTTATGTTTTTCAACTCCTGATGATAAGATATTAAGATGTGATCCTTTGGCTCTCCTCTCAATACCCCCTCCTGCTTCAACTTTACTAGGACTCACATCCTTTTTGTCACCTGTTTGTAGAACTACCTCAGGAATTATTTCCTCAATAGGGCTATCTGTAAGCATCACATCCCCAGCAATTCCACCATCCCCAATAGTAACATTCTGTGTTTCCAGTTTCTGGTTGTCTTCTCTAATGGTTGATGGATTAACCGGAGAGGCTATCATCTTTCTCCCTCTCCCAGGCTTCTGAACTACCATCCAAGTACCAAAAGCCTCCTCTTCCTTCTGGTTTTCTACAGCTTTTTCCTTCACCTCCATATCCTGACTCTTAGTACTAGTACCACCAGTTTCAGGACTAGTTTTATGTCCACCAAAACTAGGACACAAGTCCTTTCTATGCCCATATATGCCACAACCAAAGCATATTATATGCAAACCTTCATATCCCACATGCATAACTCGTTCTCCAATCTTAAACTTTGATAAGAAAATTTTTCGAAGATCAACTTCTACACAGATTCTAGCAAATCTGCCTCTTTCAGTTATATCTCCATCACCAATCTCATTCCTTCTTAAAGAGTTCTTATCAATCTTAAGCGTTCTCCCAAACATACTGCCAATTATCCAGAGATACTGAGTGGTATAGAACTCCAGTGGTAGACCTGGGATTCTGATCCAAACCGCCAGCCTCTTCAACTAATCATCATACACATCAAAGAAAGGTCTCCATCGCTGAACAGTTAGGTAGTGGTCAGCAATGATCCAAGGTCCTTCATAGAGCACATGATTATAGTTACCATCCTCCTGGAATCTGATCACCAAGTATCCATTATCCATATCAATCACCTCATATGTACCCACCAGGTTCCACATTCTTACCAATCAAGTCATTAGAAACCTAGTCCCCATATGTTTCCCCAACAGCTTAATAATTAGTGCTTTTCTCCATTGTTTGCAGGCTTCTTTGTGCTGACTCCTCGAGAACTTTAAGGAAGGGCATAGTGGATCATCCTTCCCATCTCCAACTCCTTCCTCCAGCATGTCCTCATCATCTTCCTCCCTTCGTTGCCTAGCCATCCAGTCTTCTTCACTGTCCGACATATCTTCAGCACCATTGAGTCTCAGCAGCTTATCTCTATATGAGACAACTCTACACCCCTGTCCACTAGATCTCCCTGAGGATCCACCAGACTGTGGTCCAATTTCATCCTTGAGAACTTTTTCAGGGGAATGAGGTTTTCCTGCCAGATCTTCTTTTCCCCTAGCATGCATCTCCGGATCACCTAGATCTCCTCCCTGCATCTGCTCATCCATCAGATCATCTTGGATCGCTAATCCTTTGGGTTTCTTTATACTCCGATTCATGTTATCTTCTTCCTCCGTCGATGCCGAACGTGTTTCTCCCATAGCAAATGGAAATTTTCAGAGAAAAAAGTTGAGCGCGTAAGATTCACTCCCTAACTTAAATGTTCAAAGAAGCAAACAAAAAACAAGAATAATTAATTATAATAATTAAACTGCTTGAATTAAAGTATCAAGTGATTCATTTAGATTATAAACTTACTCTGTATGCTAACACCTAGCATGACATAGAAACTATTTATGTTAGTGTCGACAAAAATGTGGATGGGACAATAGGTCTATTCATGTGTCATTATATATTAAAACAGTACAAATATCTTTCTCTAAACTCTGCCAAATTATATCACTGACCATAGAAGTTGTTTCCAATTTTACTTATAGTATTCTTTTATCCTCTTTTCAATACCTTTATAAATTTTTTTTATCAATTAGAGAATTAAAGTATTCTATGAGACAGCTATAACAATATTCATGTGAGCCAAAGATGCAACTTTTTATATTTAATTCCATTAGTAAGCGTAAAAATTGAATCTAACCTTACCTCAACCAACTTGTGCCTTGCCAAGAAAGGATCGGCTAATTAAGTGAAATTTTATAGGGATCTTTTAGTTTTATCAAGGCATTAGTGTTTTTCATATTATAAGAGATAATTTTATCTCCTACACTCATAAAAATGTGTGGAACTCATGTTTTATTTTTCTCTCTTTTTACATGACTCCACACATTTTTATATGTGTGTAGGAGATAAAATTATCTATATAACTCCTTTTATCAATTGTTCTACTTCACTAGGATATTAGAGAAATGATCTTTGGTTGTTCTGCAAAGTTTAATCATCCACCCCAAGTAGCTGCCCAACATTCTTGTTCTTTGGGAGATTTATAAGTGGGTTGGTAGTTAATAGAAGTTTTGGTTTTTAGCTCTTACAACTTCTGATTAGCACGCTCACATGTTGCTGTTTATTATGATTACAAATGTTATAGTTTTCTACATAGGTTTTATTAATCTCATATTAAAGGAGATAAGTTATCTCATGTCATAGAGATAAACTTGTGGACTCCACCACCTAAAAAATAAAAATAAAAGAAAAGAAAAGAAAAAGGTGGCACAGCAGTTATCAAAAGATGCGTAGGAGAGAAATTTATGTCATATAGCATAAGAGTAATTTTTCCCTTCTATATAAGGGAACTAGTACGTGTCAGCCAAGAAAGAACCGAAGCCATTGTTTCGGGACCACCAATTAAGTGCTGCATATGCCATGTACTTACGAATATTATGCACTCATTGATTGAAAATTTTTAAGTAGTCCTCTTTAAGTAGGAGATTTCTCTTGCATTGCATTATTAAATATGAATTACCTTATTAAAATGCAGTTACATATTGGATTCCCCACATAGTTAAAATGGTAAATATTCATTAACATAAAATGTGCTCCAAGACCAATAATACTAAATAATCTCTCTGGCAGCGCGAAAAACGTAATTGAGTGACAGGACAGAGCCTTTGCCAATGAATGTGGTCTGTGAATATTTAACTTTGCAACATATTCTTTTCTAATTTATTTAGTAGGAAAGGACACATTAACTAGAAAGAATTTATAAAGTGAGTTGAACTGTAGCGAGTTTTCAGGACAAATAATTTTCAAAACAAAAGAACAAGATTTTAAAAGAGATCCACAATAATAAGAAATTCAATATTTGAAATTATCCGTAGAGGCATTATAGAATATCACACAAATCATTGCTTTGTTCACCAAAAATAAAAATCATTGCTTTAGGCATCCGGAAGAGACATCCCAATTGTTCTTTTCCACAATTTTTTAAGGACAATAATTGGAAATTAAAAGCCATAAAAGATCCTTTTTAACATATTTATAGGAGACAATAATGTCAGCTAGTAATAACACCAGAAGAAAGAGAACAGTGGAATTGGAATTTTTCATTCATGATATACTTCTTGTTACAATCTTGTCCTGCCTCCTGCATAATATCACATGCATCAACTGGGCATTTGGTGTAAAAAAGGGACCAGTTGATGGGGTAAACTGGACATTTCTCATAGCACCTTGGGCTCTTCCAACCATTTCCAGACAGTTAGCAAACCAGTCTCATCTCCAGTGAACAAAAGCCCAACCCTATCAGTAGCTATCTGTAATGACCGAACATCTTTTTGCAAAAATAGCCTACCCCTTTCTGAAAATCTGTACATGTAGACATGGTCAGGGGCTGTACAACATTTACCCAACACAGAAATATAACAACCAAAGTTACAGAAGGAAAATGGATGCAAGTTTAAGTTCACTTACGATGGCAAGTCATTTATGTAAACTGAAATGTCTCTGTACGAGCAATGCAGTAAATGCTTGGCTTCTGCATCAGTCACCCCACAAAGTGCAAGAACACCCTATAACAAAAACAAAAATGATTTATTGTGTGAATCAACCAACTCCATGACCATTATAAAAAATATCAGCTTGATTTCTAAAAATGAAATCACTACTAAAATATACTTGATATAAAATAAAAAAAATTACTTATGCAAACATCTGGTTACACAACTTACATTTTCTTCTGTGTGCGTCTATGTTACTTCCAAAGTTCCCTCCCCAGACCTTAATAGTGCAATCAGATGAACTTGATAACAAATACTGATCACAAAAATAAGGGATCAACCAAGTGTTGGCTGGAGTGTTTATTTTTTTTATTATTCTCCAAGTTACCTCAGAATGCTAGGAATTCTGTGGCTTCCTTTTATGTTAATATTTTTGGACAAGTTGTCACTGGAATAGCTCTTCCAGTTGGATCAGACAAACTTTATTCTGGCAGCACTGATGGGACAGTTTGGATGTGGGACTGCCATTCTGGTCGATGTGCTAGCGTGATAAATCTTGGTGCCAAAGTT